GTCAGAGGCTTGTTGCCACAGCAGCATCATCAATCGATACAAGGTGGACCCCAAGAGGGCGATAGAACTAATGTATTGGAAGCAGATCGCAATGCTGCCAACACAGGCTGGACCGCGGAAGCGGCCAGCCCCTTCAATGATCAGGAAAGCACTTTTACGATTGCATCGCCGGCGGATCCTGTATACACGTCGCCGAAATATGGAGCACCCCAACGCCCTCTGCACCTTCGGGAAGCACGAGAAACCCCAGTAGCAACAGTCTCAGGCGGCATTATCAGCCAACCAACTAATCCCGAAAATGATACTATGGAGGTACGCTATTCGCAATCAACGCCGCGGCATGCTAAACACGTTGTCGGCGCGCACTGAAGGACCATCAAATCCGTGCATGTACTATGCATGGGCGTTTGTCTATTGATGTTATGCCTCACGTTTCGGCGCTGAACTCTGTCCGCACCACTGACGAAAGAGACACGCCTACTCGCACCTAGTACAAGTTCATCTTTGTGTCTGGTTTGTCTCTGGTCTGTGCAGGGTGCGCAAACGCCTTGTGAGAGCGACGATGCGCCGTGGAGCGGGATGAAAAAGTGGCTAAGGGACAGGGCCTCACGAGCACCGCCCACTGACGAGACACCAGATAATCAGGACACCCACGAAGCACGCACGCTGAAGAAAATGCAAGAGTTGCTGTGTCAAGCTCTGAGGTTCCAGTAGGTTTGGCTAGCTTTCCCCTTCTCCACTTTGCCCCACAGAGTGGAGGGAGCCCTTCCCTATCAGCTACCACCGGCTGCCAGTTTGCTTCGAGCTATAGCAGTATTTTCAGATATGAACAACTAACCCCTTTCTTCCTGTACTCGAGTCATAGCATTTGTGTTGTACCTGTGCTCCGCTTTTCGTCTCAGACCCCTCTGGAAGTGAAGGTGCCCCTTGTAGTACACCCCAACGAAATATTATGTAACGAGCCAGAAGATGATTGCATAGCAACTGTTGACGTGGCCATACTAATCTAATCGCCTAGTCACGCTAGGTCACCTCTACGTTCAGAGCTGGTGACCAGGAGATCGCTGCATTGCACGTCTCTGGAGCAGCACTGTTTTCCTCAGCTGCTGCTTCATTTTTGCACTGTTTTACATGGCGGGTGCTTTGGCACACGCCTTCTGCTAATNTTCCTCAGCTGCTGCTTCATTTTTGCACTGTTTTACATGGCGGGTGCTTTGGCACACGCCTTCTGCTAATATAACCGTACAGTTACACGGACCGCAATTGTTTTTCGTTACATCGTTAAGCCTCTACTCATTTAGCAACTATACGGACGAGAGTTGCTTTTAAAAACCAGTGTACTTTGTGTCCCACTGCAGAACGTGCCCCTTGGCGCTCACCGCGCCATGCTGTGTATAAGATCCACCTCCATTTTCCCTGTGAAGCATTCTTCCTGCTGCAATCTGAGATCCCCGATTGTACATTCCTTATTCCGCAGAACGTGCGTCACCACATTGATCTAATGTCTTTGATCGATCTCATCATGTTCATTATCACGAGGGTTACCTGATACCTTCGGGACTTCAGTTCTAATATATAAGTCTGAGACTTCAGGCTTTGCAATGCACGACAAAACACCTACAGGAGCAAGAGCGCTGAACTGGACTGGAGGCAACGCCTTCAAAACAACCGAATGCTACAAAGGAAGCTATTATCCAGCAAAAGTCAGCGCCGTTGCTTCACGTATGAGGAATGGCTGTGTGTATACAGTGGAATCCAGCGTCAATTCACGTCGAGCTAGGCTTGAGATACCCGCCGCACAGCGAGACAGTGCTGCCGCCATGCTCCCGTATCCAAATACCAACCAGTTGGTATATAGGGGTTTTTTCTACGTATTCCCTCTAATATTCACTTGAAACGCTTTACCGGTGAATGCCCAACGCCTTGCCGATCGGTCTACCTCGTGCAGTGCACACTAAGCGAACGAAAAGCTGAATTGATCAAAGAAAACATGAACAAGGACATTGCAAATCATGGTCAATGCACTGCAATATTAACCGTCTCTCTGGAAGCCCGTGAAAGTCTCTCAACTGAGAGATGGACGGTGCTGATCAAGTTGCAATGCGGTCAGCCCCCGAAGAGCGCTTCTGAATAATCCTTCTATAGTCGCAGCGAAGCGGGGGAACTGCCCTTGCAGTACAGACTATTTAGTTTTACCTTGAGGTACTAGACTGGGTACTTGGAATTCGGTCACTGGAGTCAGTCGAATGCGGGATCGAACACAGTTGGTAATTGTTCATATTCTGTCTGTCACTCACCACTACTCGTCTGCAAATGTCGCAACTGATTCCTCAGCGTGGTGATTTTTCTTCTGAGAACAAGGCGCATCTCCGAGTAAATGAGTCTTTCCATCCCAGTTTCATCCGTCTAGTACGCGTTTTCCGTTCTTTACCCGCTGGCAAAAACTACGAACGCTCAGCCACTGCGTAAGCAGCGCATAGCGAAGATCAGATCCCGCACCAAATTCCGCATGTATCCTTATTTTCAAAGAGGATTCTTTAGATGCCAGGTTGGGTTTATACGGGGTAGTTGTCCTTCCGCATGCTGGCGGCTGCCAGACTAAGTTGAAATGTCACTTTCCGCTTAGGTCACCAGTCGGGCGCTGGTGATTCTCAATTCGGAGTTTCGCACGTAAACCTTGCACACCTTTAACTTCTCTGCTTATCATTGCCATGTGTCAAAAGAAATTTGCATTACAAGACGTCTCGACTCTTGATTTGCAGCTCGGCATGTTTCAGATGGCATCGAAGCACGGTTACCCTTCAGTGCGACGACCATCACCGGGACACAATCACAAATGCAATAAATGTATTGTCAATTGGTCTATATTGCTCGAAATGTAAATGAGACTAGGGCAGAGCGTTTCTTGACTTCTGTTTCTTGCGTGGAGCGAAGCCCCCCACAAACATCCACAGGCCGGAGCACTCGCCGGTTCGCCTCGATCACGTCACCGGGATGAACGCTGGCAGCAATAAATACCATCAATAATACTCCTTATTATTACAACAATAATAATAATAATGATAATAGTAACATAAATAATACTAATGACAGTAAACACAGAAATATTTACAACCTTAATAACAATATATGTAGTGCGTGAGCACTCGAGTGCACTAGTTCTTTTGGCTCCGTTAAAGGGGCCAGCGTAATACGTGGTCAGGTCGCGAAATATTGAGTTTCGTAGTATATTTTTGTCCAGAGACGGTAATTTGTTACAGTAGATTCTCGATCAGCTTCCGCCGGCACCAGAAGGCTATACCTGCCAGGACGCTGCACATAGGGCACAGCGACCCTTTGCTGTCACCACGTATGAACCCTAAGCTACATAGCTGAGCGCAAACAGCACTACCAGGGATCTAAACTCGTAATTCTCGCTATTCCCACTATAATATCCGTTAACCATTCAAAAAGCATTCGAGTTCCCCATTTCTTCCTGGAGGAAATCCTCAGAAGAGTAGAACTCCCCCTGACCCTCGTTGAGGGTCAGTATGAGAGTCAAAGCTTCAGCCTCACACCCAGCCCCCAAGCCGGTGCCGGCTGGCGAGCACTCCGATCCTATTATGCATCTTCTCCTACGTAAAGATGTCCTAA